CGCGGCTCATGTGTTGGAAGGCCAAGGGTTTGTTCATACAGGGCCTGAGAATGGTTTTACACCTCCCAAAACCATACATCCACTGAAGCAGGACTTTTTTAAGGGCCAAAGTTAGAATTTTGATGTTTGTCCTAAAAAAGTGATTTCCATTGCAAAGCAGTTTCTGGGCTTGGTAGGCTGCAGAGTTGGTGCCTGGGCATTTTTTTCTTTAACAGTTTATTAAAGATGGAAGATCTAGCTTGGAGAGATCCTGAATCCAATGAAGTTTGTTTAAAAATTCAGCTCCAACTACTTTTTGAGCATACAAAGAAAATAATTGGTGTAAAAATATGTGCATAAATGTACTTGTTGGGATTTTTGCCAAGACCGGGTGAGGGGAGGTGGACTGCGGGAACACAGGAACCCGGAGAATTCCCAGGAAGGCTGGGATGAGGAGTTCTGGAACACGCCAGGGAGGGCTGGTCCAGCTAGGAGCCCGGGCCATCTTTGGCTCAGGGGTTCCAGGAAGTGAAGGCTTTTATTCCTGTCTTTGGCTGCCCAGGAAAAAAAATCGCTCATTTCATGACTAAATTTCTATCTGAACATGAATATACCAGGGGACAAAATTATGGCTTTATGTTTTTTTCTTTCTTTTTTTGCCAAAGTTATTTGAATTCTATCCAGTTCTGTTATAATGAAAATTGTTCTCCTTAATTTGATCAAGGATGTATTTAACATGCTCACCACTCGTAGAATCTGGAGCTGAGAAATTCAAGTCAGATCACCATGATGTTGGTCTCTATTAAAGCCCCGCTTCCCAGATTAAAAAAATAGAAAAAAAAATATTTTGAACAATGCCTTGAGCTACCTACAGAAGCTGACCTGGGACTTAAAGCTTTTTTGCTTCTTGATGGTTTATCTGTGAGTTTATTTACTTTAACACTTTCCTCCCTCCGGGCCATTTGTTGCTCATTTGGACAGAGAATTCAGAGACTTTCCCACTGAGAGCTGCGGGACTGGCTTCATGAGTGTGGGACTTGTGTAGCCACACAGGGCTCTGCTCTTGAAGGGCCCCACAGTTAGTCTGTGCTCTGCTGTGACTGTCTTGAAACTTTTCATACTTCTGGAAAAAGAGACCTGTGGTTTCATTTTACACTGGGCTCTCCAAAAACATGTAGCCAGTCCTAAAGGCCAGACTTAACCCTGTTTGTATGCCTGGCTGGGTAGTAGGCTCCTTTTTCCTTTCCTCCCTCCTTATCCACATATGTCAGCCTGGTGCTCTTCAGGTGAGGCAGGTGGCTGTGTCACCTCTCACAGCCTCAACTTGAAGGCTTGGCCAGCGTGGAAAGAGCGGAGGGCTGTGCACGGGACTGACCGGGCGACACAGGGCTCTGCCCCTCAGCCCGCAGGAGCACGTGGAACCTCAAAAGAGGACCCGTGTGCCCTGTAGAGTGAGCACTAAAGTGACCGTGTCACCCACAGCCAGGAGGACTTGTGTGGCCACTTAGGAAGGTGTCAGTGTTATTCCTGGGTGAGGTGGTTAGAGGCTTCATTTTGAAAATAGAAAGAAACACAACGGATGTTGAGGTTGACGAGGACCCAAAGCCTCAGTGAGAAAAGACCTGTCTTCACCAAGCTGCACGTGCGGAAGGGGAACAGGCGTTGACTCCTTGTTTGCCCGTATTGACATAGCCTTTATTTACTTAGTGAAGCCCTTCCTGGTATTCCTTTATGCTGAAATGTAAAGAAAATTGCTGTTTCTCGAGATATAACTGTCTGGGTGCCTCCTTCAGACAGGATGTTTGAGTGAAATGTCAGGGCCGGGAATCAAAGTCCTGGTCAGCGTGTGGAGTTTGAGGACCCAGGTCACATGGTCACACACTGGGGCAAACCAACACGAGCAAAACTTGACTTAATAGAAATACGGATCGCAGAACCAGCAAGCGGGGCTGAGCGCAGGGGTGCATGGTCTGTGCTGCTGGTCCGGAGGGCAGGCGGGAGGAAGCAGGGAGGGTGGGGGGGCCGCGCCGCCCGCCTGCCTTTTGCTGACTCACACAGAGACAGGGAATGGGCCAGCTCACCGCCCCCCCCCCGCCCCCGCGACTGCTTCCTCACCTCTGAGTCCACCCCAGGATTTCTTTAATTAAAAAAAGAGTTGTTTTTTTTTTTTTTTTTAATTTTTAAAGGTAAAAATTGGTCTTTGTGTAAAAGTTGGAAAATATGATAAAAATAAAGAAAAATGATTCACAATCCTATAACTTAGTGATGTTCCCTATCCTCTTTTTCAAAAGGATTTTTTTCCTTGTAAAGGGTAAGTCCTCTGCTGCATTTAAAGGAGGATTTCTTTTTAAAGATTTTATTTATTTATTTTTAGAGAGAGGAGAAGATAGAGAGAAAAAGAGGGAGAGACACAGCAGTAGGTTGCCTCTCACACACCCTCAACTGGGGACCTGGCTTGCACACAGGCATGAGCCCTGACCAGGAACCGAACCAGTGACCTTCTGGTTTGCAGGCCAGCACTCAATCCACTGAGCCACACCAGCCAGGGCCAAAGGATGATTTTTATGTACAAATTGCATGTGCTCATTCATCTCCTGTGTCCTTAAAAGAGATGAGTGCTTTTCTGATGGGCACCTTATACAAACTATTTGCTACTTTTTCCAACTAGATTACTATGATTATTCATGGATATATATTTTTTAATTTTCTTCATGTGGCGGAAGATGTTTATGCATTAGGTTTGGTCTAATCGAAATGAAAATGAACTGAAGTAAAATCTACTCTTCTCTTTTCAGGATTGAAATTATTGTTCAAGTGTATCAAGTTTTAACTGTGCAATCAGAAGCTCTTGTGCTAGCGACCTTCCTGTGTTTGGCAAACTGGGATTTGTCTGGATGGCTGGGAGTGTTCCGCACTTCTCCTGTGAGGGGTCCTGTGGCTTGGGGTCTCCCAGACCTGCTGCTGCCGGGCCAGAGGACGGGTGCGCGCAGGAAAAGGGGTTTTCGCATGGCATGTTCTTTGTCTCTTTAGTTAAAAAATCGCTGAAGCCCTTTGTATTTATATGACTTGGAAGACAAGGGGATCTGTAGTTAGCTTAAGAGTTAAATTATAACTTGGTATCTCCTGTGTCCAGACTCCTTTAAAAAAAGGGAAAGGAAGAAAATCAATGTGCAAATTGGGGGGGGGGGACCCATTCTGATACATCTGGTTTTCCTCCCTGATGTCCCCTTCAACCTTTAAAGAAAATGATTTGTTATGTGAACTCAGATAAAAATGACTATTTGCTCTTTTGTGTGTTGCTTTGTTTTGTTTTGGAGTTTTAAAAGGTCCGCTGAATTTATTCCATTTAATTCAACCAGCATTTCTGCATTATAGGTGCCTTCCTGGGAGGGTCAGGGAGAGAAGTAAAAAGAAAAACGGAGGCGCTTGGGGTGAACCCTAGGAGTGTACCCTAACTAGATGTGTAAAAGGACTCATGTTCCTAGACATAAATAGTACTTTTATTGCTCTAATCACAAAATCGTTGTAAGTTTCCATGACAGGATAATAATATTAGGGCAACTGACTTCACTGACAGTTTCCTCTAAGGCCTTGGCTGGGGTGTATTTTCACTGCAGGTGTGTTGCGGCAGCACCACGAAGTCCTCTGTCCTTCTGAGGTTTCAGAGCCGCCCTGGGGCCTCTGTCAGGATGGGGTCCAGGAACCTTTAGGTTGGTTGCCTTCCTTCCCCACTTCCCCTGGAATTTCTCTAGAGCTGTCAGAGTGCTTGTAGGCCCGTGGCTGTGCTCAACCCCTCTGGGACTCCACAGGTCTCCAGTCCTGTCCTGTGGATGCAGGCAGAGGACATGGCGGACTGACGAGGGCCAGACTTTTCCTGGGGCTCCCTGAGACTTCCACAAAGGAAGGGCCAGGAGGCCCTGGCCAGGCATCTAGGTGTCCAGGGGATTTGACCCTTTTGGTTTCTCTTTCTGATAAATGACCACCAAATTGTCATAGTGCAGAGCTAGACCTCCTTTGGAAGTGCTATTTTGTGTTGCTTAACATCCCTTTGGTAGGATAGCTTTCAGTTCTAGGCTGAAGTGAGCCATGGACTAGGTGACTTGCCCCCATTCAGATGTGTCAGGTTCATACGGATTTGGTGCCTAGGCCTTCCTGGTTAGAGACCTTCGTCCTTAGGCCATGCACTTCGGTAGCTCTCTCAGCTTCTAGGTCTTCCTTAGCATAATCACTGTGTTTCAGACACGTTGCCCAGGAGAACTGATATTTGACCAAAGCAGTTTTATTTTGCAGCAACAATAGAGTTGCTTGTTTTTAAAAAATCAAGTCATGTACTATGTTCTAAAGAAAGCTGTCAGTTTATCTTCTAGATCAAATCTTTTAAAGTAGAGGACTTATATATTCATTAAACATTAAGCTAACAATTATCCATAAAAATGATAATTGTGTATCAGCTAATTATGTGTCTTTCTAAAAGCAAACTTGAAAAGTACTTTTAAATGCCACACTTGCATCTTGAAAAGAAGATATTATATATAGACATTTTTTTTTAGATCCTCTGCTCTTTTGGCAGACTACTTCACTGTGATTGGTGGCATTTTCCTCTCATGTTTCATTTTCACATGTTAATCATTAGTCATTCCTCATGGCCCTCCATGCAGCTGCCGGGTTGGAAGCGCTGCCCACTCGGCAATGGTGGGGAGGGGCCCTGAGGGTTACAAATGACCTGGGTTCATGTCCTGGGTCAAAAAAAGATGAAAGGTTAGTCTGATGCTCAGCCTGCAGGTCCTGGGAAAGGCAGCCCTCTCTAGGCTGCAGAGACTGAGGAGGGAGAATGTCCCCAAGCAGTCCTGGCTGTGCTCCGGGAGGCAGGCCTTGCAGGTTCCCCATAACCCCTTTGATTTGCTGCCCATTCCACATGATGTTTAGTAATAAACAGAGTTCAATGACCAGTCTAGACAAACAAATCATGGTCCTGGCAAACCCTGCGTTCTGATGACATGTTATGTCTTTGCCGTGTGGAGACGAGGAAACCAGCTTTGAAATTTTAATGCAGTGTCTTTGTGAACTAACAGCAAACAGAGGCTGAGACGGGATGCAGACAATAGACCCACTCTGGCCAAATTAGAAGGTATTCCCCTGCTTTGTGGCTTGTGATTTTCCTGTCCTGTCTTCCTCTAGGCATTAGGAAGCGGCCCTGAACTTGAGCAAAATGGGAAAGGTTTAAATATTAATATTTCTGAAACCCTCAGGGTAGACTCAAGCACCTGCTTCCCCTGTAGCAGCCGTCCTAAACGGTTTTCACGAGGGAGACATCGTTTTTCTCTTTAAAGAAAATATTTCATCAAAGTCAGATTTTAATTGAGCTAGGAAGACGTCCAAGTTATTTCATGTTCACTGGCTAGCTTTATCTGTCCTTTGGGGAGGAAGAGAAACCTTAGAACTTCCCCATGTCCTTGCTCTTTCCTCCTCGACCCTATCAATGAAAGCACAGTATCAAATCTTGGCAAGTTGTGTGTTATCAGCATGCGGGACAAAATAGTGAAATCCCATGTCTCCTGGGTCTGAAACAGGAAAAATGCTAAGAAAGGGCTGAAATCCCTATAAAATAATCCCTGAGTGAAAATAGCAGCCAGGTCTTTCTTTTTCTCTCTTCCTTCCTTCCTTCCTTCCTTCCTTCCTTCCTTCCTTCCTTCCTTCCTTCCTTCCTTCCTCCTTCCTCTTTCTCTCCTTTTCTTTCTTCTCTCTCTCCCTCTCTCCTCCTCCCTCCCTCCCTCTCTTCCTTCCTTCCTAACATGTGTTTCTTATATATACAGCCCAGTATGATAAACCATGTATACAACAAAGAATGCTTAAAACATGGGGTGGGTAGTATTCTTCTGTGAATGTATTTAGGCTGTTTCCATTTCAAAATAATTCATTTTCAGCATTTATCAAGGGAGGTTCTTTTACAATTATTTAAATGCATTTTTCTTTTCAGGCTTTGAATTGTTTACTCAATGTTAATGGTTCCTCGCAAATATTTACCTTATCTCTCAGTAAACTGTCCTCTAAATTAGACCAGAAGGTTCAAAACTCTGACTAAGTCCCCTTCGGTACCAAGCCTTTTAAGGTAATCTCTCTGCTGCTATCTGTGCAATTAACCAAGAGCATTGTAATAACAGGGAATAATAATTGCTGTTTGCTTATCATTGAGAGGAATTTCCCCCCATACACTTATTTTTAAGAAGACTAGATTGTTATGTAGCTCATGGTGATGCTGATAAAGACTTTAAAATTACCATGAGAGAGCTTTTGATGGATGAGAAACCAGAATTTGCAGTATTTTTGGTCATTCTTTTGAGAATCTTAAAGTCCTACAATTGCTGATAATGTGAGAACTGCTGGAGTAAAAGGTGTGATTATATATATAGTCATAAATCTATAAAAATATTTCTGTGCAACAAAATGTGTAGACATGATCAAAGATCAGGCAATAAAAACCAAAGCTTATGCTTTTGCTATGCTTTTCGGGGAAAAGGTGTTGTCATGGACATAAATTAATTCCTCTACAGACCAATGTGGGAAAAAGAAAATGTGTTCATTTGTATGAAACTGTTTTAGGAGAACGTTACTTCCATGTGTATAACACAGCCAATTATATATTAAATTGCAACATGAAAAAATTATACCCGCTCCTACCTTTAACTCAGTTCTAAGTTCAAACTTTCAAGCCCGTGTTAATTAGATTGCAGAGATCCAGAACCGTGTGAAGCCCTGGCCCCTGTGGCTCAGTTGGTTGGAGTGTCATCCCATAAACCAAAGGATTGCAGGTTCAGTGCCAGGTCAGGGTGCTTACAAGAGGCAACTGATCCATGTTTCTCTTCCCCCCGCTCTCTCCCCCTCCCCCTCTTTCTAAAGTATCAGTACACATGTCCTCAAGTGAGGATAAGAAAATAAAGAACTATATTAAATAAGCTCTCTCTCTCTCTATATATGTGATATTATCCCTGCAATTAATAGAACAGAAACATACTAAATCATTTCACAGTTACTGCAAAGATTCATCAGTTTAAACACTGAATCTCGAGGGGTCGTTGTCATCCTTCAGCTGGGAAAGTAAATACGACTCAGGTAGCCGCAGAGTTTCAAAGCCAGAATGAGACTGAGAGCGAGTTCACAGCGTCATCACATCAGTTGATTCTTTTTTGCATCCATGCAGCCTGTGAGCGGTGTGCAGTGTCCCCACTGGGTGCTGCAACTGCAGTGGTGAGCAGGACCAGGGCGGCTTGCACATTCATGGCTTGCGTGTTGGGGAGAATTGACACGGTCAGGTTTGCACTTTGAAATGCTTCGCCTCATTTGTTTTGAAATTTTAAAGATAATTCTAATAGTGGAGTGAACTCTTGGAACAGAACCTTTTAGTGCTGGGAAAATTAAAAAGATGACAGGTATTCATTGATGGGATTATGGTGTGAAGTTCCAAGCTTTCTAATGCTACTGTAGTTTATATTATTTTGTGTTGTCGAAGTTAAAAAAGAAGGATACTATGGATTTTCCCTTAATTCTTTTTCTGAATTTATGTACTGTTCTGGTGAAGCCTAACATTTTTGCTGGCTTAATTAATAGTTAATTATAATGCACATAATGGGTAAGAATTCACACGGTTGGAACTTTTCTCTGCCTAGAGCTCCTCTCCTCCCTCACAGCTGAAAATGTAATCTTGTGGGTTCAAGGGAAACAGCCCAGTTAGCACGGACTCAGTCATTTCTTAACTCTAGTCACCTGTGGGGCTCTGCCCCCTCCGCTTATCCCGTAGGTGACAGCTGAGTTCACTGAACCGGGGTGGGGTGGGGACCAGCAGTGCGGGCAGAATGGGTTGGGGAAATCCTTTGGCCCTCAGTAGGCACTCAGTGGGATGCCCTTGGCCCTCTACTATTTAAGGGCTATTGGCTTCAGTCCCTCCTGCGTTCTGCTTCTGTGGCCTCTCTCTCCCAGCCCTCTGCCCCCAGCCCTGCTCCACTCTGTGTCCTTCGTGTTCCAACCAGGAGACCTCTGCAGGTTGATGGGCCCTTTCTTTGCCCTTCTCCACCAGGCTGCGGGCTGAGACTGTCACAGGCCCTTGCAATGGTAAGTCCTAGAGCATTACTGGAAAACTTGCTGCATGGGGCTTTCAAGCACAGGAACCAGAGTTACATGGAAGGTAACTGAGGCAGTGCTGGGACAGAGCATGGGGCGGGGCCGAGGGGACCCGCAGCAACACCATTGCTCGCCTGTCTCTCATTTCTCAACACTCCATTCCCACCCAGAAGGATTTTTAATCTGTCTTCCCAGTAGAAAAATTTCCCCCCAAAACCATTGTTTATGGATAAATTTTAGGTATAGATTACTCAGAGCTTTGGCTCTTGATATTCAAACCAAGCTTTTGGGCCTCAGAACAATCTTTTATCTTCTAAAAAGCCTGCCTCTTACAAATCAGAAGAGTCTTGGTTTCAAGATTGTTTTCTTCACTAGGAGTTTTAAAAATCGTCATTTAGAAATGTGGTTGCTTCATTTGTTCTCTCTACTTTGCCCTATCCTGAAGCCATAAACCTCAGCCTCAAATTCAGTTTTAATGGAAGAAAAATGGGGGGTGGGTAGGGATGGGTGAAAGGGAAGGAAAGTGAAAGGGGTATGATTAGAAATTTTATAAGAACAAAAGCCCATCAGAGAGTTTCAAAAATGCCATCCCTGCCATAGTAATAACTGGAGCTTCCTAATGGAATCTCAGGATTTCTCAGGGAGAGAAGTACGGAGGTGAGAAACACCAATACGTTGCCTCCTGTACGGCACGTGCTCAGACCAGGGCCCAGATTGTATACAAGCTTCTCTGAAGAGGGGCTGAACCCACAACCCAGGCATGTGCTTTGACAGACAGTGCACCTGGAGACCTTTTGCTTTGCGGGGTGATGCCCAGCCTACTGAACTGAACTGGTCCAGTCTCAGGATTTCTTTATTCGGGGCGTGGCAGCCTCTGCAACACCCCTGTGATGTGCACTTTGGTTTGTTTACAACTTTCTAAGCAAGGGCTCTATTGAGGCCAGTTCTACATCTGAACAAATTTTATGACCTACTTTGCTTTGAACAGTATTTTTGTTTCTGCTTTCTATGCCTCCGCAGTGGTGTTTTAATTTGCTGAGGGTGAAATCTCACCCCAAAGCTTTTTCTAGAAAATGGTTCTGAACATCGAGGAGTGGATGATGTAAGCCACTCTTCAAAAATCATCACCCAAAAGGTAGTGTGAAATGAGACATTGAGCTGCCAGTCACAAAGTGGAGAACACAGTGCCAGGATGCATTTGTGAAAATGAGATTTCGTTGATACAATTGAATTACTATTACCAGCTTACCACTAGGGCTAAAATAACCCGTTACCACTGTGTTGCAAGAAGCGCCATTCAGCTCTCTAATAACTTAATTGTAATGAAAAACTAAATAGCAACATTGGCCTGGCATATAGGGGGTGTTCAATAATACAGCAGGTCTTTGAACAGCGTCATTTCATTCGATCTTGTTTCATGACAACATTGATGAGAAAAAAACCATGCATTTTGAGCAGGGGCCACTGTCAAGCATCCAGGTTCTCCACATGTCCGCGCGGGTTTTGTCCAGGGACTTCGGTTTCTGTGCACATCCCGAAGATGTGCTTGTGAGGGGCACTGGTGTGTCTGCGTTGTCCCAGTCTGAGTGGGTGAGAGCGGCCCTGTGATGGAAGGTGCCCTGTCCAGGGTGGGTGCCTGCCTTGTGCCGGAACTGCCGGGATAGGCCAGGCCACTCATGACCCTGAATTGGAATTAGTGGGTTGGAAAAGAAAGATCTTACTTGTCTTTTGTGAACATTTATTTCAGTGTTTAATATTAAAAGTGTTTTGGTCTTTATTCAGGAGTTTGATGATGTTTTTGTGATCAGAAATACACCGTAGGTGTATTTTTGTTACACCTAACTCTTTGTTACACATAACTCTTTGTTATATCAATTAGCCTAGGGTCAAATTGGTTTTGTTATATGTCATTTCACATGAAGTCACAAAAGCTATTGATGACATTGTGAGGACTTACTGCACAGATGGGCTGTCCAGCTTCGCAGGGGCCAGTAAGCAGAGCCTGTGAGACAA